GCTGCACGAGACCCTATGGAAAATAAATGAACATTGAACATGGAAACTTGAATAAAACTTGAACATCTTTGAAACTTGTCTTTTTTCACATTATATTTAGTTGGCCTCAGTTGAACTAGATATCAACAATTGTCCTCAATGGCTGTTTTTGAATTCTGAGATCAACAAGATCCATTGAGTATGATACTTGATATCTTGGTGGTGTCATTAATTTGAAACTAACTAATATCAGTTGCCAATGTGAGCAATTTTGACCAATAGAAAGATTTATCATCTCAAAATATAAATTCAATTAATATTTGGGTATTGAATAAAGACCCAGATATATTCATGCTAATTATATTTTTTCAGCAAATTGTATTTCAACTTGTCGAAATTGTTTGAATGGAAAAAAAAAAAGATTAATAAAAAAAAAAAGAAATCTGACCTACCCTACCTATTTTTTTCTAGCTCGTTACCTGAAACACACCTTTTTTTTTTTTTAGGCCTTATATTCGGTAAAAAGTGTATTTTATTTTTGTGACGCGCGGCTGTGTATGTGGAAGAATGCATTTGTTTGTAAATTGTTTGAAGTACTTCTAGATGTTTAAAGCGGGAGGGTCGTCACCTGCTCACGCGCGGGAATTGACCCAAGCGAGATAACAACACACGCTAAAAACGCAAAGGCTCATGGGTAGACGCTTGTTTGTAAACAATGGCACGCTATGGTCATCTGATGCATGCGCAGGTGACGACTCCCCCGCTTTAACTGATGATAGTCCTCAGTAGATCGCAGTCACGTTGTTTTTTTTGGAGATTACATTTCAAATATTAAGTTTTGTTTTTAACTAATTGTTCTCGTTTTGTTGCATATTTTTTTCACAGTAATGTTTCATTTATATTACAGTTAATACCATGAAAACCTAAATGTTTTTTTGTGAAAGTTTAAAAAAAAAAACATTTACCCTGGAATATCCGTGTGCATAATTCAAACACAAAGAATCCATTGGCTATAGAAGCTGTCTGCTACTCAGTTTTTGCGAGGTGCCTTCAATCATTGGTGGGTTTTCTGCCATGTATCCGTTGACACGTTGTGCTTGCTCAAGTTCAAGTTCTTATCAACCGTAAATATTTTACATAAAAACATTCATTCCTCCATAAAATCCACTGTATTTTCTGTATTTATTTGTTAAAGGTCCAATTCCTCACTTACCCTCTTTGTGGATAGACCACCACAGCACGTGGAATATCTAAACCACTTTTGATCACAATCTGCTGTTTACTACCAGTGCTGTCGGTGACTTTTATCCAATTATAATGCATATCACTCCAGTAAACATTACCAGAAATCCAATCGATAGCGATGCCGTCAATAACAGACGTACCACGGACCAGATAGTCGGCACTTTGGGATACGTGCTGAGCGTCAAACTTTCCTTTGATTATGCCGCCATTCGACAAGTCGCTGAAATAGAGGACGCGCTCGGAAAAGTGGTTGTCGAGGGCCGCCCACTGTGAGCCGTACTGAGAGAAGTGCGTCGGGGAAGTGATCGACGGCGAGCTTATATAGTCTTCGGGATCCGCCGGAAGACTTCGCACAGTAGCGTAAGCGTCGTAGCTGCGGTAGGCCACCCACACCAAGCTTGGAGGATTCATCTGTCCATCTGAGAAAAAACAAATTTAAATGTAAGCTATTACTTAATAATTTGTAGGGTCATGTACTAAACCCATAGTTGGGTAGAAGTGCCCTAAAACGTTTGACCACATTTATACCTAAGTAACCCATATATATATACCCATATTTCTACGAAAATGGAAGAAAGAAAGGCAGAAAGTTGTACTCCAGTTTATAAACATATTCACACAAAAATCTATAAATACCGATCAACAACTTTCAGCCAAATATTTAAAGGGCGGTGGTCGTAGCGCCACGCATGCGTGGGATATGGGTCTCATATAAACAAAGATGGCGATTTTGACTTCTGCGCACACCAACGAGTACAAACTGAGAGGTTACGTTTTTATACCAAGCTTTAATTTTGATTTTTTTTTTGTGATTGGAAGGTACGAAGGAGTCGCCGGCGGTAATTAGTGCAAGTGGCGCCGAGGACCAAACTCTACTTGTGATTTCATTAGACTACCGCCCTTTAATAAATACGCGCGCAAGACTTCGAGTGACATAGCAGCTGCTTTGAAATGAAGTTCGTGGTGATTGGACGACGTTGAACCAGCTCATTAATATTAATTAGAACTTGCGATGATGTCGTCATATATCGTTTTTGAATATTGGTCAAATTGAATTCTACCAGTCTTTTTGATCAACTGGCGTTCAAGTTGACATGATGAACTATTCATTCATTTGTTACGTGATTATATAGTACAATTTCAATACTAGAATCGAAACCAACTTGAATAAAAGCAAAAGTACAGACACGTAAGTCATTTTCGTCTTGAAAATCTCGTAAATTACGACTTTACGCGTCATGCATTCTGTTGTGTAACCTTCCATGGTTACACCAATGTGTTAGAAGCCAACACAATCAACAGCCAGATTAATTTAATGTAGATTTCTGTTTTGTTTTGTTGTTTTGTTTTTTTGTTTGTTTTACAATTTGAATGCCAGTTACATGATGATTAAATGAGTGGTAAGCATTAGAATGTATTTTTTTATCGCGAACTTCCGCCTCCGAGAATTTGTCAGGTATATGGAGTTGAGGCACGCAAAAACGGACTACTACGGCTGAATCGCGAGTTGGGTGTTGTATACGTACCTGTGTGGAGAGGCAGCATACAGATCACGCAGAATGCTGCAGTGTATAGTCGCATTATTTTAACTTTTAAAACACTGCATACGAACTCAGACTATGCGTACTGTACTGTACTGTACGCGTCAAACAAAAGACGGGAAACTGCTACCTGCGTACTGCGTTTTCACATAAATAAACACTTTCTTTGTGATCGAGGGGAATGCCCCTACCCATTCCCCGGTACGTCGTCGGATTACTTTCTTCCAATACAAAAATATGTATGATGTACGCGTTGAAGCATGCAACATTT